TCTCCCTTGCCCTTGGTTGGAAAATACCAGCATGGGGAGGAGAGTGCTGCTGTGTGTGTGCTTGTGTGTGTGTGTGTGTGTGTGTGTGCTTGTGTGTGTGTGTGTGATTAAATACTCCCTTTAAGAACACGTGTTAAAAAAAATTTGCCACTGGACAAAACAAAATTACCCAGCACAAAACAAAATTACCCGCTGTGCTGGGGCCCAGCTCTCTCCCAAGCCTTGTTGTCTAATTATTCAGTGGCGTCTGAAATAATTATAAAAGGCCCCAGTCCCGAATAAAACAGCTTCTGGCCTTCTCCATGTAAAACAGGGAAGAAGGAAAAAGGATCATTTACATTCAAGAAAGCTGGCTGCTTTACTGTAATAATAAATCATACGAAATTTGAGGCCAGCCAAGCTTCAGCGCTCTACTTCTATCTGGTCTGACCCAACTGTGAAGGGCAATTTTAGGATGGGTTTATTTTGTTCTGTCTGGAATTCTATGCTCCTCTCCTACTCTATTTTATCCAAAAGGAAATGCAAATGTCAAGTATGTTGTTTGGGAAGAGACAGTTTTGTTGAGTCCCCAGGAACCACAGAAATGCTATTATGGGAAACCGTGTTTCGGGGACAGCATCATTTCCGAGTCAAGAAATCAGGAAAAGACATGCACGAGAAGAGAGTTAAAAGCTGTCCAGATCACTGAGAAAATTGAACAGCTTTGAAAGAATATCAGGGAGGTAAAGGAGATGATGGGACTTTGTATACTGAAAGAAAATTACCTTCAAAATGGAAAGACCTGCAGAGAAAATGAGAAAAGTTCCTTTTCTGAGTGACTTCTGGTAGGGGAAGGATGCAGAACAATGCTGCCCTTGGTCAGAGCTTGGCCAACTGGGCCTCGGCTTGTGCCGAGTAGGAATCACAGAACGTGGCGACCTCTCTCCCTTGTCCCCACCTCCGTCCAGCATGGTCAGGTGGACATCATCAAATTAGAAACAGGCAAGAGCCCTTCTTCAGATAGTCAATGAAAACAGATCATATTTATTTCTCCTTGCTATGTGTCTGAGACTTTGCTAAATGCTTCGTATCTATTATTTCATTTAGTCTTGATAATAAGTCCTCATTTTTCATGCAGGGAAACTAGATCTTAAAAAGGTTAAGTCACTTGCCAAGGTTATGTCACTACTAGGTGACATAATCAGGCTTTGTACCCAGGTTTAACTCCAAAGTTATTCTCAGCCACTTCCCTGAGTGTCTGGGGACTCTCAGAGTCTGGAGACCTCACTACTAGGTGACATAATCAGGCTTTGTACCCAGGTTTAACTCCAAAGTTATTCTCAGCCGCTTCCCTGAGTGTCTGGGGACTCTCAGAGTCTGGAGACTGCACTTCTCCATATGATCAAAGAGGAGGTGCTTTCCCTCAGTTCTGGGCGTTTGGGATTTGAGGGGAGAAACTAATTCTCCTCAACCACCTTTCCATAAAAAATGTTAAACCCAATGAAGAAGAACCTCACAATCCTGGACGTTAATCAAGTGAATTAAATTGGTGATTGAAAACCATCCGTGCATGGCTGGGCTCTCAGAGGAGCATTAGAGATCTTCTAGGCAATTTCCTACCTTTTATAGTAGGGTAGGGGAGGATCATAGAATCCCAGATGGTTAACGGATGTGCCCAAGGCCATGTGGCTAGATAGGGACTGAACTTGTTCTCAAATTCAAAGCCTATTTCAGACCTCACTGAATCTCATCTCTTTTAAGTTTCTGATGCTATTTTTCAAAACCCTTCTTTCTTTGAAATAGTCTCTTACTTTGGCAGCTGGTACAGTTGATCTTCATTATTGGCAGATTCTGTATTTGTGAATTTGCTTACTTGTTTAAGTATATTTGTGATCCCCAAATCAATGTTCACTGTACTCTTCTACGGTCGTTCCTGGACATGCACAGAGTGGGGAGAAATTTGAGTCTACGGAGACACACAATCCCTAGCGGAGGTCAAACAAAGCAACATTCTGCTTTCCTATTTCCACTCTCATACTGTAAACACGTATCCTTAACGTGGCCTATTTAGTGTTTCATTTTTCACGTTGGTGCTTGTGTTGGTGATCTTGCTTTTTAAAGCTTGCCCAAGGTCTCGCTCAGCTAGGAAGCTGCAGAGTTAGAGTTCAGACTCTCCTGATGAGCTGCCCCCACAAGTACATTAAGGGCAATGGGCTATCACTGCTCTGAACGTCAGGGACTGTTGCTGAACAAACAAACCTGCAGAAAAGCTAATGTACAGGCTGAAAGGAAGACTCCAGGATGGAGCAGTGAGGCCTCAGCTTTTTGGGTCTTTATTCAATTGTCATCTTCTCAGCAGGCTTCTCTACACTTCTTGTAAAATTAAAATCTCACCCTGACACTCACTACAGCTTCGCCCCCCCCTTTTCTCCCTCCATTGCACTTACCACCATCTAACAGTCCTGTTGGCTTTCTGTCTGCCTCCTGCTGGAATGTAGATTCCAGGAGGGCAGGGATTTTTGACTTTTGTTCACTGCCTCACAGAACACTGTGGGTGCTCAATAAATATTTGTTGAATGAATGAATGAATCCAAGAGACCACGTGAGGGTGAAGATTGAAAGTGGTGAATCAGAGGCAGCTCCAGGAATTGTGTCTAGAACTATCTAGAAGGCAGCTGCAGCAGGTTTTGGGTATATTGCTTGAGTGGGGGTTGGGCTTTAAAGTTTCATCTAGAAATAGACTAAATGGATCATAGGAGTTTGTATCTTTCAGTTGTAAGTCAACTCAAACAAAAAGGGCGACTTTCTTGGCTCCTATAAATGAAGAATTTAGAGGGGTAGTTTAGGTACAGGAGGTCTGGGACCCAGTGTCTCATTTTCTCTCTCTGTGGCTCTAATGACCTCTGCTTTGTCCTTGCTTTCAAGCATTGGCCTCTCTCTTTTAGGGATGGACCCCAGTACCTTTAGGCTGACACCCCAGCTCAATTAGAGGTTCTGTCTTTCTCCAAAAAACTCAACCAACATTCTGTGTTTAGTCTCACTGGCTCTGATCAGGACATGGGCCCGTCTCTCCACCAGTCACATGCCAGAGCAATGAGACACTCTGATTGGCCAGGGCTGGTCACATGCCCACCTCTGAAAATGGGGGTGGCATTTCTTATCATCTGAGCCTCACAGGCTGAAAGGGGAGGAGGATGCCTTACTAGGATGATGAGGACAGAAGTTGTGACCCTGGCACAGCAAATGTCAGCCAGGGGGACATCTTGGTGTCCAGACATTACCGTCTCTTAAAATTTGTTGCAGAAATAGCAAATGCCTTTTTAAAAAAATGAGAATCTGTTATAATGATAATGATCAACTTTCCAATGATTATTGTCAGTACCAATGTTAAGTACTATATATGTAGTATTTCACTTAGTTTTATCCTCACTCTGCAAGCAGTTACTTATCTTTGCACATGTAATAGCTGCACAGACTGAGGCTCAGAGATTTACTAAATTACCTGAGGCCTTATAACTAGGAAATGGAAGGGCCACATATTGAGTCGGTCTCTGTCTGCCCTCAACATCTGTTTTTCTCCTCCATCAGTGCTTAGCTTTGAAACAATGGTGCATTCGTAGGCAGAGGCTTACCTGAAGTTCTTTTCACAATCCCTGCTGGCCACCCCAAGACCCCCTGAGCTTGTACTGCTTTCAATTCTTAAGCAAAAATCTGTCTTTTTTCCTTAATCCCTGCCCACCTTTCTGTAGAAAATAACAATGACTTTGTTTTAATGTCCTTGGATGAGCTACAACTCTGAAAGGGCAGGAGGGAACCTAATGATGATCCATAACTCCTAGCTAAACAGTCTCACTCTGTCCCAGACTCTGTGTCCCTTGTTAGAGAAACGGGCCTGCAGCCCAGGAACAGTCACTGGTCTTTGAAGTCGGGTTTTGTTTGGTTTTCATTTGTTTTCGCTGTTCAGAACACAGCTCATTCTCAAGGGGTTTCCAAAAAGACCTTTCGAACTAATGACTTTTAAACTGTCATTTGCATCAGAGTCACCTGGGGAGCTTATTGGAATCCAGTTGCCTGGGTCTTCCTCTCCCCAACAGATTCAGGATCTATGGGGCAGGGTCCTGCACGTGTACTTTTAACAAGCTCCGTGTAGGTAGGTGTATCTTATACCTTAACATGTACTTATTTATCTACTTAGTCACCCATTGTTCCCATATTTATTTATTATTTTTTTACCTTTGAGCTAGAATGTATTTATTTATGTTTTAATTGACAAATAAAAATTGTATGTATATTGTACAACGTGATGTTTTGATATATGTCCAAGTATACGTTGCAGAATCTTTACATATATTTAAATACCCTTATAACTTCCCAGGAGCTGAAATACCAAATCCAGCAAATGCACGCCCACTAAACGAGGGGGTCTCAAACTCATGGCCTACATATTAAATACAATTTAGCCCGCAGGTATAATTGCTTTAATTGACAAATACGAAACTCTATGTTGCTTTAACTGAACTTAGATGCCTTTGTTTAGAAAGAGGCATTCTTCAGTTGTCTCAGTTGCCCCTGTCCTTATTGCCTTATACATACTGCTTTACACCTTTATGGTACCTACCTGGCCCTAAAGGTAAGTGAATTTCTACTTTGCATAAACAATTGGAGGGTTAGAAGAGCAGAAAAGCCAAGTGATTTCCCAAAGTGACAGCAAATCCTCATTGCAACTGGAGAGGTGAGAGCTTACATTGTTGCTTACCAGATCACTTTTTCTCATGGGAAACCAAAGTAATAATGTTTTCTCTATCAAGAAGTAGAAGTTTCCTCTTTCAAATACTTTTGAAATCCTCTGTGGTCCAATCGACTATATTGCGGCAGCTCACTGATTCTGAACCCCGACTCCTTCTGCTAACCCTAACTGTGTCATCTCTGCCCTGCCCTGCTGGAGACACATGTTTCTTGCTTGTATTCTAGTGGGCAGCCCATCCCTCGAGTAGAATACACAGAGGAAGAAAAGAAAACATGGGGGACAGTGTTCAGGACCCTGAAGTCTTTGTATAAAACTCACGCTTGCTACGAGCACAATCACATTTTTCCACTTCTGGAAAAGTACTGTGGCTTCCATGAAGAAAACATTCCCCAGCTGGAAGAGGTTTCTCAATTCCTGCAGTGTAAGTCCTCAGCAGGGTCAAAGGCCCAGCAGGAAGTGGGGGAGGGCTGGACAGAGGAAAGGGAAGGGGAGGAAGAGCACATGGGGGTGTAACATGCACAGGTTGACTCTCCCAGCAAGAGCTGAATTTCACTGTGCCCTGCCTCCCCTGTAGCCTCCACTGTTAATCTGCTGTCATCCAAGCAAAGGCATCAGGCGTGGATTTTGCCATATACATGTGTCTGAAAAGTATTTTCTTTCACACTCAAAGCCCAGGACGCCCAGTTGGGGATCTCCCTACGGCTCCTGTGGTGTTGTGAGATGGCTGCAGTGTGTGTTTGTGTAAGAAATGAGCTATCAGTCAGGCAGTGTCAACAGCCCTGAGCTCTGAGTCGATGCCTCTGGTACGAATCCTGCTTTGGAACCCTCTCTAGCTGGGTGAACCTGCCTTAGTTTTGTCCTCTGTCAAAAGGAGACTGCGTCAGCCCTTCAGCCTTTCTCAGAGGTAAATTGTGAGAATTAATTAAGATGTTGCATAGGAAAGCACTCAGCACAGTGCTGCAAATACGGTAGGTGCCCAGCAAATTTAGACTGAATTGGAATCCGAGTAAGTCAGTGGGTCAATCCATTCTCTGGGTGGCAGGCCTCCGCACAGCATTTCCAGGCGAGATAGGTGTTTTCTTTTCTGCCAGGAAGGTGTTAATTCAGCAAAATCAAAACAAAACAATCAGCTAACACATACTGAACACCTACTATGTGCCAGGTAAAATGAAGAAAAGTAGGGAGACAGAGCACAGATTTACAGAGATGAAGAATTTTCTATGCATCAGAGCTGTGCAGTGATGAACAACTCTGGGACAAGGAGCCAGAGAAACTACATGGTAGGAAAGAAGTTGTACCTGGGATAGATGGGGGATGGGCTGGATGACATTTTGGGTCCTTCCATTTAGAGAGTCTTATCAGCAGGTAAAGGAGTGGGAGTCTGAGCAGAATGAGTTTCAGCCTGAAGATACAGAGAGCATCGGGGGAGAGACAATGGTGTTCTAAAGACATTCCTTACCTAGTTATTCCTGTTTCCATGGCCAATAATAAGAATACTAAAATAACTATCAGTAATACTAATGGTTTGGAGTTATGTAATAATAACTAAGAGAACAGACTCTGAAACCAGACTGCCTGTGGCTTGTGACGTTTCCATGGCCAATAATAAGAATACTAAAATAACTATCAGTAATACTAATGGTTTGGAGTTACGTAATAATAACTAAGAGAACAGACTCTGAAACCAGACTGCCTGTGGCTTGTGACCTTAAACAAGAGCTTTAACCTCTCTCTGTCTCAGCTTCTCCCTCTGTAAAGTAGGGATTATAAACACATCTACCTGAGAGGGTTATTGTGAGGATTAGTTAGTACATGCATAGAACAGTGTCTGACACATGGTAGGTAAGGCATAGTGTTAGCTATTATTATTATTATTATTATTATTATTATTATTATTATTATTATTATTATCATCATCACTGTCGTTATGATTTGCCTTTCAAGTTTGGAACAAATTGAGAGACAGATATAGGAACCAGAGAGATGGTGAGAAAAATGTCAGCTTAAGAAAAAATCTATTTAGAGAATGGGCTGTAGGTGCACAGCCATGGACTTTCTCATGTCATTCTCTTAATTAAACTTAGCTGCCAATTCACAGTGCATAGTCCGTTGCAGAGCCAAGAACATGCCAGAATGCACTCTTCTGCTGGGCAGTTAAGAGAGAAAGAGCAGTAGAGAAAGGACTAAATTGAGAATATTCATTTTCTCTTCCCAAATGCTCCAATCAGACAATTACTCCTTCTCACGGGATGGCTGTGAGGTGCAGAGGGAAGCTGGAAGTGCTCCCTCCGTAGTCTTCCTTCTGGAAAGTATGGTGAAAATTCTCTCCCCAGTCTGGAAACATGAAAGGTAGGGAATAAGTGTCCCACTCTAACAAACAATAACAAAAGCTAAACTGAGTGTTGCCGAAGTGCTAGACTCTGTGCTAAGTACGTTATAGTCATTAGCTCTTTTGATTCTTGAAATATCCCCAAGACATATCTGTTTGCATTTTGCAGATGAGGAAACTGAGGCTCAGAAATGTGGATTCACTTGACCCTAAATCACCCAGCTAGAAAGTAGTGGGGCAGAGATTTGAAGTCAAGCCTACTCGGCATCAAGGCCCATGTCACTGGGCAGTTGTGTGCACTTTTCCTTACTTGAGGGTCTTTAGGCCCCTCTGGCTCTGCTGTGATGGGCTTTTAATTTTCTTTTCTTCTTTGCTTCCCAGCTTGCACTGGTTTCCGCCTCCGACCTGTGGCTGGCCTGCTTTCCTCTCGGGATTTCTTGGGTGGCCTGGCCTTCCGAGTCTTCCATTGCACACAGTACATCAGACATGGGTCCAAGCCCATGTACACACCTGAACCGTGAGTACTGTCCTTCAGCTGCCAGTGCCAGCCACAGGGATTGCCATTGCTTCCTGCTCCCAGAACGAGGTTTGGGTTCATTGCCGGCTGGTCCACAGGACTAGTTGCCTGCATTGTTTGGTGGCAGTACTAAGAGAGAAACTCATCTATTCTGGGGCTTTTCTCTGTCCTAGCAGACCAGAATGTGAGGTACAGCATTGAATATCAATACCTGTGCGTGATACGTGATGTTCAAATCAGAATAATTAGTATATTCAATGTTATACAATGTAATCAATTTTCATGGCCCTTTACCAATTCCTCCTTTACCCCCCGCCCCTCCTCCTTTCCCACCTCTGGTAATCTCAGTTCTGTTCTCTTCTTTTGAAAATTCAATATATTATTATTATTATTATTATTATTTAGATGTAAGAGTGTGTATTTACAAGTGTAAACACATTAAACTGCATTCATTTATACAGTGAAGACTTGTTCACATGGCAACATTATAATGCAATTTTTGTACTTGTCAATTTAATATTTTGCTAGGTATATGGAATTAACAACACATTTTAGCACTCAATTTGGAACATTTTCTTTTTTCTTTTTTCTTTTTTTCTTGGAATATAGTTGGTTTTACATACCTGTGGGCTACAGCATTGAATATCAAGACCATACTGATTGCAGATGTGGGC